GTTGCTGAGTGGCTGTTGATGTGGTTGCTGACGTGGCTGTTGATGTGGTTGCTGACGTGGCTGTTGATGTGGTTGCTGACGTGGCTGTTGATGTGGTTGCTGACGTGTCAGACGCGGGAATTTGGGTAACTGGATAAAGACAGGAGGATGGTTGTGCTGCAGATCCATCCTGGCGTAGCGGTGGAGTTCGTCGGTGCTGACGTGCGTGCTGACGTGGCAGACGCCGGTACGCGGATAATTGGACACGTGGATGAAGAGAGGATGATGGTTGTGGTGCTGAGACTGGCGTAGCGGCGGAGCTATCTTCTACAGCTCGCATCGGCGTTGTTGATTTGTTGATGACGTGGTGGTTGCTGACGTGGCAGACGCGGGAAAGTGGATATAAAGTGGATAAAGAGAGGATGTCTGTTGTACGGACAATCGTGGGGGAGCGGTGGCGCTCGTTCCCGCCGCAATGAGCTGCGTGATTGCTGACGTGGTAGACATGTACTAAAACGCATGAAGTGCATAAAAAAGCGCATAAAGCGCATAAAGTGCGTAAAGTGCATAAAAAAGTGGATAAGGACAGAATGACGGTTGGGGGGGCTGAACGTGGCGGAGCGGAGGAGTTCGCTTCGTGCAGCTTGCACGCAGCAGCGAAGGATGCTGACGTGGCGTCTGTCAAGCCGTCGCTTTCTCTGACTGATTTTGGCCATCCACTGTCCACGTCAGCTTATTAATCAACTCGTAATTAATGGGGTAGGATATCCCGTTGATGGGTTTCTGACTGCGACCAATCGCGCCACGTCAGCGTGTGTGTGTACGCGACTGATGTGTCTAATGGACGTTGATTAGTTTCCTCACTGATGATGGACACCTGTCTCGCTTCCCCCTCGTCTGACGTGGCGGTTCGCCTCTGGATCGGGATCGGGATAATCTGATCGAATGGATGGTTGGCAGAGGGCTGAAGACTGCCTTAACAACGCCCTCAATTTTAGTGTTTTTTTTTTTTTTTTTTTTTTTTTTAAAGCGGGATATGAACCCGCGACTTCTGAACGCCCTGAATTTCTTCGAGGAAAAAAAAGAAAACAAAAAAAGACAAATTATTGAGCCGAGAAAGGGCGGTAGATGAATGACGTGACGTGGCAAGTCTGTGACACCCTTGGCGCGCTTTAGATTATTTGTCGGCTTGCGCCAAACAGACCGAATACGAACGCACGTGCACAACAAAAAAACAAAGAAAAAGGGAGAAAGAAAAGGCGGCCCTCCTTTTGCCCACAGCTGAGACTCCCGTGGACCCAGAATTTGCCTCCTGGGACTGCCAGGGACGGGTACGGTACTGGGCCTCCTCAGGCGCGGCAAGCAGGCTCGGATATGTAGTGGTGGTTGTTCTCTGCTAACGTCAGCAGAGAATTTGCCGTCGGCAGTACGATTCCCAATCGTTTGCTTGGCTGAAGAAGAGCAAGAGGGAGGGATACTCGCTCACACACACACACACACACACACACACACACACACACACACACACACACACACACACAGAGAGAGTTCAGAGGCGGTTCAAGCGTTTGTTTGGCCGTAAATCGTGGTACTCAGACGACAGAGAACAGAAATAGAATCGTGAGAGAGAGAGAGAGGAGAGAGAGGACCACCTGTGAATGGGAGCATGATGTAGGTCAGATTCGTTCCGTCTCAGGACAAACTCACACTGCGTAGCAGTTTCCGAAATGCATCTGACCGCAATTACGACCAGACCTGCACGAACCTAAGTGCAATTACGTTCACAGCGGTGAGGAAAAAGTCCTAGTGTCAGTATGCCTTCATTTTGGTCTATCGGATCTGAAGAGAGAGTGAGTGTCATGTTTCTGTAGAGGTGAAGAGGGCATTCAACGTACGTGGCTACTAGTTCGCGGCGGTGACTGTGGGCGAGCTCCCTGCGCCTGCAGCCAGGTTCATTGTCAGGGACCTGCGCGACGAGCATACTGGTTCCGTCAGCTACCTGTCAGCTACCATCCGCTACCCTCAGCTACTCTCAGCTACCTTCAGCTACCGTCGGCTACCCGTAGCTACCGTCAGCTACCGTCTTCTACCGTTTGCTACCCTCAGCTAGCCTCAGCTACCTTCAGCTACCCTCAGCTACTCTCAGCTACAGCGGTGGCGACCTGGGCGACGGGCAAACGGGTTCCGTCATCTACCGTCAGCTACCGTCAGCTACCCTCCGCTTCCCTCCCTTTCCCTCCGCTTCCCTCCCTGTCCCTCTGAGCTACCTTCAGCTACCCTCAGTTACGCCGGCAGCGACCTTGGCGACGAACATACGGGTGCTGCCACCTGCCGTCATCTACCGTCATCTACCGTCATCTACCGTCATCTACCCTCAGCTACGGCGGCAGCGACCTGGGCGACGCGTACACTGGCACCGTTAGCAGCCTTCAGCTTCAGTCAGCTGCCATCAGCTATCCTCAGCTACGGTGGCAGCCTTCAGCTTCAGTCAGCTCAGCTACGGTGGCAGCGACCTGGGCGACGAACATACTGGTCCCGTCAGCTACCGTCAGCTGCCGTCAGCCACTCTGAGCTACCTTCAGCCGCCCTCAGCTACGGCGGCAGGAACCTGGGTGACGAACACAGGTACTGTCACCTGCCGTCAGCTACTGTCAGATACCGTCAGCTACTCTCAGCTATCCTCAGCTGCGGCGGCAGGGACCTGGGCGACGCGCATACTGGCACCGCTAGCTACCCTCCGTCAGCTTCCGTCAGCTTCCGTCAGCTCCCGTCAGCTTCCGTCAGCTGCCGTCAGCTACCCTCAGCTACCGTGGCGGCCACCTGAGCGACGATCACCGTTAGCTACCCTCAGCTACCGTCAGCTACCCTCAGATATCCTCACCTAACGTCAGCTACCGTCAGCCACCCTCAGCTATCCTCAGCTAACGTCAGCTACCGTCAGCTATCCTCAGTCGGCCATTCTCACCTCCGCTCAGCTACGGCGACAGCAACCTGGGCGACGAGCATTCTGATACCGTCAGCTACCCTCAGCTTCCGTCAGCTACCTTCAGCTACCTTCAGCTACCGTCAGCTACCGTCAGCTACCGTTAGCTATCGTCAGCTACCGTCAGCTATCGTCAGCTATGGCTTGCTGCAGCGGGATTGCTCGAGGTTGTTGGTCCGTTTGGATGTGTTATGCCTTCGACGGAAGCCATCGCGCCATAGCTAAGTTCATTTATGCCGTCTTCTTCATCCTTGTTTTCTTGGGTGCGTGGTTGGTCCGCGATTTCAGCGGTACATTTGCCATCCCTGGAACTGTATCTGACCGTCATTGCGGTCAGCGGGAAGAAGGAACGCCGCAGACTCTGAGGCAGTGCTTGGAAGAGCAGCGTGTCCTCCAAGTCCTACGTGTCACTTTGACGGGAGTCCTCTTCTTCTCGATCATGTGTATCTCGACGCTTGGCGCCAATCGCAAGGACTCTCTGCGCGACACGTGGCACTCCGCCTTTTGGCCGGCGAAGGTTGCTGGCCTCTTCGGACTGCTCTTGTTGTCGTTTCTGGGGCTGCCAGAGATCCTTCTCCGAGCTTTCGGCGTAGTTTCCATCGTCGGCTCTGGGGTTTTCGTCGTTATCCAGATCCTCATCTTCTTGGACTGGATCTACTCCTGCAACGAGGACTGGCTCTCCGACGACAAGTTGAAGAGGTGCATGGTGCCTGTCATCGTGATAGCGGTGCTCAGTTACATCTTATGCCTCGTCGGGATCGGGGTTTTGTACCACTGGTTCGTTCCCTCCGCCCGTCGCTGCCCGCTTAACACGTTTTTTGTCACCTTCACTCTCGTGATCTGCGTGGTCATCACTTGTATATCAATCTTACCCCAGGTCATGGCCGGTCCGCTGACGTCGGGACTGACATCTCTGTACCTGGTCTATCTTTGCTGGTCGGCGTTGACCAGCCAGCCGCCTGTTGCATGTAGAGCGAAGGAAGAGTATGGGATAGGAGAGGGAGGAGGGGTTGAGGGGGGGGGCAGTCCGGGTACGGTCACTATTATTGGGTTTGTCCTTGCCTTCTTGTCCATTCTCATAGCGACCTTCACCGCCGGTCTGGAGTACCAATCATTCACGCTGAAGAGACGGGATGAGTCTGATCCGTACGGTCCACGTGGCGGTCGGGGTCTGGGTGATGACGATTCCCTGCCTTACAGTTACTCCTTCTTCCATCTGGTGTTTCTGACCGGGTCGATGTACGTCGGGATGCTCTTGCTCGGCTGGGATCTGCATCAGGGAGATCCGACCAAGCTGAAGCTAGACCATGGATGGACTGCAATGTGGGTCAAGATGGGATCGCAATGGGCATGTGCGGCCCTCTACGTCTGGACAATGGTCGCGCCATTGTTGTTGAAAAACCGCGACTTCAGATGATTCGCGGTCGTCTAGGGCCTAGCTCC